ATGTCCAGGATCGCTTGAATCTGATCCGGGTTAGCTTCGATTCCTCGTTGGCTGACCAGATATCCGAGAAATTTACCCGATTCCACTCCGAAAAGCACTTTGCCGCGTTCAGCTTCAGCCCGTACTCCCTGAGGGTGGAGAAGGTATCGGCCAAATCTGCCAGATGATCACGACTTCGTTTGCTCTTTACCAGCATATCGTCAATGTAGACCTCCATGGTGTTGCCGATCTGCTTTTTGAACATCCGGTTCATCAGTCTTTGGTACGTCGCCCCAGCGTTCTTTAGTCCAAACGGCATCACTTTGTAACAGTAAACTCCTTTCGGAGTGATAAACGCATTTTTTCCTGATCTGGGGGATGGAGAGGGATCTGGTGATATCCCGCTCGGGCATCCAGGAAGTCCATGCGTTCATATCCGGCAGTGGCATCCACTAGCTGGTCCACCTTTGGTAGGGGGTAGTCATCCTTGGGACATGCCTTGTTTAGATCTGTGAAGTCCACGCAGACACGCCATTTTCCCCCCTTCTTCTTCGCGCAAACCGTATTAGATAGCCATTCTGGGAACTGTATCTCCCGAATGGCGTTGGCCTTCAGGAGTTTGTCGATTTCTTCGTTGACCGCGCAGGCGTGATGCGGGGCCATGCGTCGTGGCTTTTGTTTGACTGGCTTGTGCGTTGGGTCAACATGCAGCTTGTGCGTGATTATCTCGGGGTCTACCCCCGTCATCTCCATTGCGTTCCAAGCGAACACGTCCGCATTTCCCCTTAGGAACTCAATCATCTCCTCCTGTTCGGCTGTGGGCATTGCAGTTCCAACTAAGAAATATCTTTCTTCTTCTCCCTCCATCAAGGGTACCTTCCGGAGGTCCTCTACCGACCGCTCAGTTGGGTCTATCCGGGGGTCATCCATTCCTGGACGCCCGGACTGTGATTGCTATTTTTCCATGATCTCTTCCGGTGCTCGTCCCTTTTCTTGGGTGAACGCCCCGGCTCTAACGGCTGAATAAAAATAATTTTTTGCGGACGCTTGGTCCCCCCGGATCTCCATGATACCTTCTGGCGTGGCAAATTTTAGTTTCTGGTGGTAGGTGGAGTGCACCGCTCCCAACGCATGCAGCCATGTTCGCCCCATGATCACGTTGTAGGGAGAGTCCGTATCAATTACGACGAACTCGGTGTTGATGACGAAGGGACCGGTGACAACTGGCAATGTGATTTTGCCTATGGGTAGGGCGAACGAGCCGTTGAATCCGATGAGAGGTGTTCTGACCTTGGTAAGGTCCTTGAGGCCAAGACCCATCCGTTTTAAAGTCTCGGAGTACATCACTTCCGAGGAACTTCCAGAGTCTATCAACACCCTTTTGACGTCGAATTTTCCTATCTTCAGGGTCAAGACAAGGGCGTCGTTATGAGGAGTCACTACGCCTGTCAAGTCCGCGTCCGAGAACGTGATGCTCGGCTCACCAGTCCTGGCCCTTTTACTGGGTGGCCCTCCATCATCCTCGGCCACCTTCCTTGTAAAAGCTACCCTCTTGAGGTCGGACTCGAGTTCCTTGGACGTGGGGCGATCCAGGGGACATACATGGATGACATCTATGACGTTGTCCGGTTCCTCGGTCGGGGCAATGGTGTGTCTCTCTTCTGGCCTGGGCTCTATGTATTCTTTCAAGTATCCGTCTCGGACCAATTTTTCCAAGAACGATTTGTACACCCTGCAGCTTTCGGTGCGATGTCCAAAATTCCGGTGATAGGAACACCTAACCCTTTGATCACGGGTGGAGGGATCGCTCTGCATCCTGGGCGGCCATTTGAAGAACGGCTCGTGCTTGATCTTATGGAGCAACTTGAAGATGGGTTCTTTGAACATAGTGTGAACTCCTTTGGACGAACCCCCTGGAGGGGGTAGCAACCCCTTTCGGGGAGTATCTTCCCGCTCCCTCTCTTTTCTCTTGGATTGCAGGGTTCGGCCTTTGCTGCTTCCTATCTCGTCTTCGATCCTTGAGTATTTGTTTATCCGGGCCATCAGCTCCCCCATATCCGAGGGAGTCTTCTTGGTCAGGGATCGGTACAAGTCCGTGTCCCTCGCCAGGCCGAGCCGAAAAGACGCCGCTGCCATGACTTCCGAGCAGCCTTCTACCTCATTAACCTCTTCCCAGTATCGGATGACATACTGGCGAAGGGTCTCTGATTCCCTACGTCTGAGGGTCAGCAATGATCCAACGTCTTTGGGGCGCTTACTCCCCGTAATGAATCGAGCCAGGAACTGCCTCGTCAATTCCTTCCACGACCCAATACTGTTTGGGGGAAGCGCCTCGAACCACTTCATCGCAGAGTCCCCCAAGCTCATTGGAAACACTCGGCAGAGAAACCGTTGGTCCGAATGATAGAGGGACATCATCTGCTTGTATTGCCTGAGATGGGCTTCGGATCGGACCGCCCGTCATAAGTTTTGAACCTCGGCACGATGAACTTTCTTGAAACCTCCATCTCTCCGATCTCCCTGGTGAAGGGTGTTTGTATGATCTCGTCTTCGACCTCATCCTGGATAGCCTTACTCTTTCTCCTGGATTCCAGCCGGGCTCTGAGATCAATTTCCTCCCTGACGGGATGTCTTCTGAAGTCCTTGAGTTCATCAATGGGCCCCTCATTTCCTGGGCGCCGTGCGGATAGGGTAGAATCCTCCTCGGACTCATCCCCCTCCCTCCGTCTAGACAATCCTCGCCGGAGGTCGTCCAGGGCTAATGGTCTTGCCTTCCTTGAATGGTCGTTAGGAAGGTGCTCGTTGGCTCTCGGTCGCTTTGGAGCCCGGGAGCTCTCTGCCTTGTTGTTTAGATGATTCCTTAGATCCTTCGTTTTCGCTCCCGGGCGGGGAGCCCACGAGAGAGGAATGAGTCCCTCGACCCTTCGCCGGAGGCGGCAAATTCGTTGAGCCGGCTTAGGACGTTTACATTGTCCTTTTTCAGCTGTCGTAATCTATCGCCAAACTTTTCTTCGATCACCTCCGCCAGCTGACGAGCCAGGGGGGCTGACCCTCCTGACCTAATTCCCATACTGGTTTGAGGGGTAACCCCTCTTGACTGAGTGGAGGCATTTTTATTCCCGTCAGTGTGATCCCTTCCTCCGTGGTGACAGGGAGCTTGTAGTTCGAGACTTCTTTGGTGGGGACCTTTCCCTTTTTGTCGAGTGTTCACCATGGTCACTGTTCTTTATAGAGAAAAAACTAGGAGAACTAGTCGTTTCCCACAGACGGCGCCAGATTGTGCGTGCAGGATCTTGCACAATATAAAAAACGAGAACAGATCTCTCCCTTGGTGAACTCGAGTGAGTCAGTCGAGTGGTCAACCACGCTGCTTGGGACAGCCTGTGAGGTCCGGTGGTAACCTGGAACGGCAACGGGAGACCCTCGTGAATCGAAGGAATGATCCAGTAAGGCTGGGGAAAGGTTCCTGGAACAAAGGAGAACAAGTTAGAAGGGCGCCGGAGTGTTTTTCGGCTTATCCCCTCCGACGATCAAGTCAGTTTTTGAAAGGGAGAGGAAGAAGAAAGCACTGAGTATATTTGTAGTAAAGAGTTTTTTGTTGCATACCGTTTTGCCTTTTATGAGGAGTATTTATACCTCAAAAGCTCATGATTGCTGTCAGTGTTGTCAGTAGATGATCATTAGGTACAGGCAGTGTGCGCACTGATTCTGATGAGGAATGTCTTCCCTTCTTTAACTGCTCGGAGTGCCGAGCAATCAATGCTGTGTCATCGGGCTGCCGACTGTCTAATGATCTCCACTCGGGGAGGATGCAATAAATGCCCAGCCTTAGAGACATTTATTGCCTTTCAATTCCGAGCCTTACCGCATTGAATGCGGTCTCATCAAGGGAATGGTGTAATTAAATGTTTGCTTTTCCAAGTCGCGTGTCAGTAAGAGCATGCGGTCTTTCTGTCTCTGATGTGACACAATTTGCCACGCGTCCATCCCTCATTGGCTGTGGACCCTGCCTTCCTGTTCCTTCTGACACCAATTGTGTAAGACGAGACCATGATAGCTAACCTAGACTAGCCTAGGCTAATGACCTGTACATCAATAGCTTATACTGGAGCAGAGAAAAAGGCATCCTGGACGGGGGTACATCTCGGTACCGAGGATATGCACATCTCGGTACCGAGGATAGGTACATCTCGAGCCGAGGGAAGCTGTACATGACGACCGAGGTACCATACCAGACCGAGGGATACGTGTCGGTTCGTAAAACGTACTCGACACGTGTCAAGTATCTCGGGGGCGAGGGAGTTTGTAAGCCGATGGTACGTGATCTCAGTTAACAGGATTTTTAGTGACGCCGAGGCCACGTGTCTTCATTTTGGAGTATTTCAGAAAAGTCCCATCAAGTCTTTATGTCAACAATTTTTAGTTTTTGAATAAAATGTCTTATGTTCATCACATGGACAATTATTTTTAGAATGCTCGTTCGAAACCTATTGGACAAAGAATCTTATTCCTTATACCCATTAACTTAAACCTAATTTTTTTCCATATACCCATCAAAACAAACTGATAAGCAAGCTCTTCGTTTTAGTTTAAAAAACATAAATGTAAGCAATTGAAGAGTTTGTCGATCTGCTTCGTTTGATAGGTATAAAATAGGTTTATATTTAAAGTTTTAGTGAATGATTATAAGGAATGTGACTCTTTGTCTGATAGATTTAGAACAAATAATCTAAAAATAATCCATTGGTGAGCACATGAGACATTTCATCTAAAAACCTAACAACTGCTGACAAATGAGATTTATAAGGGATTAATTGACACAAAAATTAATTCAGAGACTTTATTAATTCAAGCATCATAGTTTGAAGTTCATTTGTGTAGTTTACTCTTTTTTATAATAACCTTGCCGATGGCAATGGTTCCTGGGCCATATTTACTAAGTTTGAAGAAGTGAAATTGCTCTTCTTCTCTCTCTGTTCCATTAATTTCCCAAAAGGGTATTGCAGTGTCTCACCACCACTATGTATCCTCTAGCTCCTATACATCTGCTACTTCTTCTAATCTCTCTCTCCAAATTTATACTCACAGTCATCTTCATCCCATGGAGTATTCAGCAACAGTTCAGGAAACAAGGCATCAGATGCCCCAGCTACCGTCCGATTTTCGGAAACTCGAAGGACATAATGAGGCAGTACAGAGAAGCTGAATCAAAGTCCATTCCTTTCAACCATGATACCATTCATCGTGTGGCTCCACCTTACTGTAACTGGTCACCCTTGTATGGGAAGACTTTCCTGGTCTGGTTTGGCACCAAGCCTAGATTGACTACAGCCGAACCGGACTTGATCAAAGAGGTTCTGATGAATTCGAGTGGAATAATCGATAAGTTTGGGGTGTTTAATCCTTTGTCTAAGCAGCAGTTTGGTCAGGGATGTTGGGCCTTTTGTCCAATTTGTATGTTTGATCCCGAAGATGATGATCCGACTCCGAAATATTGTTTGCATGGTTTTTAATGGGAAATTCGGCCTAAGCCGTAGCGCTCAGGAACAAGTCTCATGGGAGTTGCCCCCAAGGAACCGCTACTTTGGTGATTGGGGTTTGATCGATGTATAACCGCTCTCTGTAATTCTCTCTCTCAATAGTGAAAATCCTGCAGTTTCATGGATATAGACAAATTATCGAATTACGTAAAATCTTTATGTCATGTTCTTTCTAGTTTCTTATTACTTTATATTTTTTAGTTTTGTTATTCGATTATGTGTGTTTGTATGTGAGTTTAAAGACTTGTTGGGTTAACGGGTCAGAAATGGACTTTCCACAGAAGGATCACAAATCAGGCATTTAACATGGAGATAGTTAAGGTAAAACAGTTGCTTAGGCAAAGTGAGGAATACTATTTATTTTCTTTTCTTTTCTTTCTTCCATTATATCTTTAGCCTTTTTATTTGGTATCGGTACCGCCAATTACTACTACAATTACATCTATGAAAGGAAAAGTTGTAACTGCTCAAAAAGATCATAATTGATAAAAAAAATGTGGTATTAATCTCTATATTTTATGATAAATCATGTCCTTTAAAATTATAATTTACTCCTTAAAAAAAATTAAAACTTTATAATAAAAAAAGTTGTAACTTTCAGTATCGGTACTGCCAGAGGTACTTCGGAAGTTCCCCTTTTTATTTTCTTCTTCTACACTTGTGGATGGAATCAAATATTTCGGTTAGCATCCAATCATAAAATTAACAAGAATTTGTTTGTGGACCGATGGCCATTTGTTCTACGCCGCTTTTCAAACTACTTTTATAGAATGTTTGATGAAAAAACTACGAGGCCTCAATTGTTGCCAACAGGGTTGGGTGCCTGAAGTTGTTGCTAGGAGCTTAAAGATGCTGGAAAAGTGGGAGCAAGAAAGAGGAGGAAGAGATGAATTCGAGGTAGAAGTTAACAAAGACCTATATAATCTGTCAGCAGAGATCCTATCCAGAACAGCTTTTGGGAGTAGTTTTGAAGAGGGGAAGCTCATTTTCGAATTACAAGAACAACAGATGAATCTCGCATACCAGGCCATGCGCAGTGTTTACATTCCTGGATTCAGGTGACTATCACCCAAGAAAATTCAAAGTCCTAGTGTGCAGTCTGAGTTATTTTGTGCCTAAAACACATTATTTAGAAGGGTTCTCACTGTTTTGAACATTTAAGATCATGAGCATTGTCCAAGCCCTCTAACAGAAATTATTGTTCAAAAATTTACAGACATTGGATGGTATTCTGTTTTGGTAATGGCACTAGCTTTTTCTTCCTTTAGCCATTGTTTGTCAAGGTCAAAAAAATCTTGTTCCTGCCTTAGGAATGTTCGACTTGAAGTTGATGGAAAACACATAAGGGAATGATATTTCTTCATTGTAAATGACTAAGCATATTTCACTTGGTACCTGGATTGTATACAGGTTTCTTCCCACGAAGAAAAACAGAACGAGGTGGAGACTAGAGACGGAAATCAGAGACTCGAAAGATGCTAATTGAGATAAACAGTAAAACAGGAGAGAATTCGAAGAATCTACTTAATCTGTTTATGTCTGCCAAGGAGAATCGCGATGGAAAAGAGCAGAAATTGGGAGTCGAGGAAGTCATTGATGAATGCAAGACATTCTACTTTGCGGGGAAGGACACAACTGCTAGTCTTTTATCTTGGGCACTTCTCCTTCTAGCACTGCATCAAGAATGGCAGATCAAAGCAAGGGAAGAAGTTTTTCGGGTTTGCAAAGGCGATGAACTTCCCACGGCCCAGAATTTAAACGACATCAAGATTGTAAGTTCATTTTCCATTTGACTTGCCAGTTTTAGTATATAATGTTACAAGACTTTTGAGTTCTGAGTCTCTATAGATTCAGTTGCATTTTGGCCATGTCAGTAGCAAAAGATAAATTGAGTTAACCATTTCAGTGCATGCCTAGGTAACAAATGACTGTTGTTACGTCATGTCATCTCTAATTTCGTCAAGATCTTATCAATGGTTATATAAGATTGAAAGAAAACTCTGATAAGAGTGTTGTCGTCTTGCTATGGCTTTGGCATCAAAAGTCCCTCGAGTCCTCCCAATAGGATACAAAAAGAAGACCGTAAGCGCATCTGAATGCCTTTTTCCCACAACAATATATGGATACTAGGATTAGTGCCATATAGCAAAGCCAGACATGTTCGACCTCACGTCTAGACAGCATCAGGTCGAACGAGCGCTGTAGTTCTTGTTTGAAGACCGGAATATTAGTAACATGGATTAAGATGACTTTTCGGAATACTAAGCCCCCGTAGAAATACTAGCAAATCTAATGTGACATGTATTAGAGAGCATAGCCTGGGAAGGAGAAGGCTTCCCACATAGGTAGATTAGCAATCACTAGTCTTCCATTAAATAGTATCAGACTTCTCTTCCAATATATTCTAAAAGCTTCAACCATTAGACAGACATGTACCATAAATAGATTTGATACTTTCTTTCCCGTGTGACCCCTTGAACTTCCATCCACATAATTGTACTGTGTAGCAAGGGAAGTATATAACTTAAATATTTTGTCTGATATAAAGAGAGAGAGAGATCAACAAGAACCACGATGACACTATAATATGTGAGTAAATGTCTATGTTTTTGCTTGGGATATCTGATATCTCCTATCACAGCAGTAGAATCTAATTTATCTGATATAAGCTACTGTTTATAACATGTAAATTTTTATATTTTTTGTAACAGTTGAGCATGATACTCAATGAAACGCTTCGTCTCTACGCTCCAGTCGGGATATTGCCGAGGTAAACATCGGAGAATATCAAGTTAGGGAGCCTTGACATCCCTGTTGACACCCAATCCTCCATTATAATGGCTGCTGTTCACCAGGACACTCATATATGGGGAGAAGATGCTGCTGAGCTCAATCCACTCAGATTTTTCAAGTCTCGGAAGCATTTGGCTTCATTTTTCCCATTCGGGTTAGGTCCCAGAATCTGTCCAGGCCAAAATTTAGCAGTGGTTGAGGCCAAAGTCGTCCTGGTTACAATCCTTAAACAGTACTGTTTCGAGGTATCTCCTTCATATGTTCATGCCCCGAAACTGTTTCTTACCTTGATGCCACAGTATGATGCCCACATCCTCTTCAGGAGGATTATGCTCTAAAGGTTGTCTTGGAATAACTATGGGTATTTGTCGAAAGATTATTGTTCAGGATGATATATAATAATATTGCGGTAGTTCAAGTAATAATAAAGCCGATTTAAATTTTGGAGTATTTAGGAAATAACATAAAACTACACTCCCCAGATGGACTAGTCACGTTTCATGTGTTTTTAGGGTAAATTTCATTTTGTCCCTTAAAAAGATACCAAAATTTTAATTTATACTTTGAATGATTTTTTTTTTTTTTTACATTACCTCTTTACAAAAATAAATATATTACGATATAATTAATTTCTTATTTTTTTTTGTGATCGATTAATTTGATACAAAACAGATGAACAACCAAACAAAAATAAGACGATATATTACATTGTAACGTTTTTTTTTTGAGAAGATAATATAGAAAAACTAAGGGAAAATTTTAATGACACCCCCTCTAGTTTACCATATCTTCAAGGATACCTCCCTTAATTTCTGAATCTTTAATGACACCCCTTCTAGTTTAATTTAAATATCACCAACACCCCTACTATTAAACTATTATTTCTAACAAAATAAATTCATCTAAAATACTAAAATGCCCCTACATAACTTCAAGTAATTTTTTTACATAAAATTTTATTAAAATTCGAGCTGTTAAAATTTAAAAAAAAATCATAAATAACAATTTTAGTAAATACTAATTTTTTATTTACTAATTAGTAAATTTAAAAAAAAATGGAGCCAATTAAATTTTTTTTTTACATATTAAAATTTGAGCTGATTTGAACTCTATTCGAGTTGTTAGGGCCGATTAAAATTCTCTTTCGAGTCAATTATAATTTAAATTTTTCTTATTAAAGTTTGTGTTAATTAAAATTAGATTTATTAAAATTTAAGTCAATTAAAATTCATATATTTTTATATATTAAAATTTAGGCTGATTAAAATTCAATGCGAATTAATTAAAATTTGATTTGAGTCGATTAAAAAATAATTTTTAATTGGCTCAAAAAAAATTTTAATTAGCCCAAATTCTAATACGTAAGAAAAATATAATTTTTAATTGGCACAAATTTTAATATGTAAAAAAATAAATTTTAATCGATTTGAATTTAATTACGTAAAAAAAATTAGAAAACAGAAGGGGTCTCATTGAAAATATACTTATCTAGAGGGAGTCTCATTGAAGATATGTTTATCTAGAGGGGATGTGGATAAAGTTTGTCATCAAATATATCATGGACAATTTAGTAAAATTGCATTCTACTTAATAATTTTAATCGACAGGAGTGTCATTGAAGATTCAAAATCTAAAAGGGATGTCCTTGAAGATATAGTAAACTACAGGGATATGGTTGAAATTTTTCCAAAAATTAATCATTCGGAGCATACTGAGAATTTTTGTATTTTTTAGGGGGCAAAATGGGATTTTCACGTGTTTTTATCACTCTAGGGTTTACCTTGTTAAGCTCACGCGAAGTTTCTGGAGGACGGTGTGCGTCGGAGAGAGAAGGTTAGAAAGGCTCGAGCCCTCCTATCTAACTCCAAAGATTTATCAAAGCTTTGATCTTCGAATTAAAGTGATTTATAGTTTAGTTCGTTCGGATTCAGAGATTTTCGTTGATCATCGGACCTCTGATTTTTGATTGTAAATATCAACATCCACGGGTTTAGGGTTTAGCTTTTGTTCCAATCTATCATCAGTAGGTGCGATTTTTAACCAGTTATGTCTTTTTTTTATTTAAGTTTATGATAATTGCTTTTGTTTTGGAGTCTTTAGATATTGACATTCAAGTTTCTGTTGAATAAAATTGTGCTTTTGAATATGTTCAACTGTAAATAAATATTATATTGCTTGATGATATGGTTCTAGGATTTGTTCACTATCTGCTTGTTGTTTGTGGTTTGCTTAGAGCTCTTTTGTTATGATAAACCGTTAACTGTTGGGTGCCTGACTACTTTTGAACGCCAGTATCTGTCTGTGGGGTGATTTTTTTTTTTTGAGATAGGTTATTTGGTCATTATTATCAACGCAATATATTGTTTTCTGGACCGCTTTTATTTGATATTAATATTACATAGAGAAAAACATGGTGACTAAAGGGTTTGCAGAAAGGGCATGTTTTAAAGATTGAGTTTCTGGTAATTTAGCTACGATTTTTGTGTTTGTGGGATATCATAGAGAGAGGTTATTTGGCCATTATTATCAGTGCAATCTATCGTTTTCCCGATCGCTGTTATTTGATATTAATATTACATAGAGAAAAACAGGATGACTAAAGTGTATGCAGAAAGGACATGCTTTAAAGATTGCGTTTCTGGTAATTTTGCTACTATTTTGGCAGTTATCCTGCTGTTTGCCCATGCAGATGGGTTTTCTTATTTTTACAATTAATGTTGCTCTTGTTTTTTGTATTTTAGGTTTCTAACTTTCTGTTAGCCATTGGTGAGAGAAAGAAGCATTGTTCTAGTTTGCAACTTGTGAATAGATGTAATTAGAGTTATGAGATTCTCTTTTGTGCCCTTTGCTGGTGGTCACTCTGTGTGTTGTAAACTTGAGCATATAGGATTGCTTTGTTTGAGAGGGCAAAATGCAGTCTAATTATGTGTCGAGACTGGGTGGTGCATTTAGACAGGGAATCCAGAGATCGCTTGTTGGGGAAGGGAGAGGACTTCAATACTCGGTGGATGGTCTGATTGGCCAGGGGAAATTGTTGTTCGGAAAATCTAGGTTGCTCCAGTCTGTTCCATTAGATGATCTGCATGTATTTTTGCGACCTGGAACGCTTGCTACAGCTCAGTCAAATTTGCATCTAGCAGATCGAAAAAAGAATCTTTTTGTTGTTGCAGCTGTTTCTCGGACTTTTTCTATTCCATCTGTTTCAGGGCCTTCTTTTCAGGTTTGTGGCTATCACGTAGATTGCCTGCTATCAGAGCCTAATCACTCTTTGGGAATTGGCTCTCAGAAGTCACTTATGGCTGTTTGTGGTTCTCGAGCTACTCTTTCCGACTCTTCATTAAGTTGTTTAACTTCCAGGCATGGACACCTCAGAGTTTCGACAAATACCTCTGTTACTTGCTGTAAATATAATTTTTTTGACAGTTGCAGCAAAGCCAGAATGAGTCTAAGTAATAAGGAACAACCCAACAATTTTTTGGTCTATGGATATTTCATATATAATGTCGCAAAGAGCAGAAGATGGTCCAATCCTTACCTTGGGTTTGGATTTAAGGGTTTACCTATCTCATCACCTGCATATTTTTCTGCTGGGACTGCTCGTGATGTGTCCTTCGACAATTCTGCACGTGAGGAACAGACTGCAAGTTCTGCTGATTCTTCTGACCAGTACGTTTCTCTGATGAATTTTTTATTATTCTTCAATAATGTTGACTGAGGAGCTTATTAAATTGCAAATATCTGTCTCCGTAATATACTGTGGAACACTGTTTATGTTTCTTTGAAATGCTACAGATAGGTATTGAATGTGATATATGGCTAGGAACTTATGTGATTATTGTGCCATCTGCTTATTGTATGTTATTTAAGTGTTTAAAAATTGTGTTTTTGACAATTGGGATCAACAACCATTTATTAATTACAAGTATGGGCAAGTACTGCCAGTAGCAACTGTTGCAACTGAAGATACAAAATACGTTTTGGATGTGTATGGTGGGTTAATGCAAGTCCAAGCCAGAAAAATAAGCAAATAAGTAAAAAGATGTATTTAAGTATACGATTTTTATAAATCTATTGGAGGTTCTCTTTTCATTCATGATATTGCTTGGTTTTGACTACAGGAAGATCCTAGCGGATAGAACTCTGAAGCTACATTCAGGATCATGTTACCTTCCCCATCCTGACAAAGAAGAAACGGGTGGGGAGGATGCCCACTTTATATGTGCGGATGAGCAAGCCATTGGTGTTGCCGATGGCGTGGGTGGCTGGGCTGATCTTGGTGTTAATGCAGGGATATATGCAAGAGAACTCATGTCTAATTCTGTAACTGCAATTCAAGAAGAGCCTAAAGGTTCCATTGATCCTGCTAGGGTCCTGGAGAAATCTCACTCAATCACAAAAGCCAAAGGGTCATCAACTGCTTGCATCATAGCACTCACGGGTCAGGTAAGCTACTTCCAGTCAAGGCATGCTGTCTATTATCATGCTGGATTAATTTGCATTTGGTTATCCCTTTTATGGATTCTAGATGGTAACATGTGCTACCCATCAAATGTATTGAACCTTCTTTTATCAATGGTAAATTTGATTTGGACCAAGTTTTTTGCATTTTTTGGACATCATTTTTACCTGTATGAAGCATAGGGTTGGTACCAGTTATAATTATCACCCTGAATCTAAGACTCTGTCATGAATCCAAGGTGGAAACATTCCATCCTACAACACATTCCTGAGCAATGATATCAAAATGATCCTAGCTTTGGTTTGTATGTTTAAAGCTTGGTAAATTTGAGATGTGATATATTGCCTCTCTTTGAAGGTTTGTTTTCTCTATATTTTCGGGATCTTATTTGCTTTAAACTTTTTCCTTGATGAAAAGCCCTGAAATTCTTGGTGCTTGGAAGATGCTTACAGATGTTGAGCTGTAAAATTATTTGATGCTGTTCACATGATAAGATTTTTCACCTGGCTTACTTCTGTTTGTAGCAGTTTTTGTGGAACCCTCGTTCGTTTGGTTTTCATGCAGAATTAAATTTTGCCAGTCTACGTCCCTGTGCAGGGTCTCCATGCCATTAATTTGGGGGATAGTGGTTTTATGGTTGTAAGAGATGGATGCACCATATTCCGATCTCCTGTACAACAGCATGATTTCAATTTCACTTTTCAATTGGAGAGTGGTGATGGTGGTGATTTGCCAAGCTCTGGTCAGGTCAGTTGCTATGCCTTATGCTTGTACACATGTTTGTGAACCCTTTCTACTCGTTGGATAGATGGGTGAGGACTATGCAGTCTTCTATAAGAACGGTTTTAACCCCATTTTCCAAAAGTTTGGTTTATTCA